ACTGAATCCTGAGCCATCCTAGAGGAGCCACTGCACTCAGAGCAGCCGAGGAGCTACTGTACTCAGAGCAGCAGACACCAAGGTGGTTTGCACTTGGGAGACATCATATCCTGAGCCATCCTAGAGGAACCACTGCACCCAGAGTAGAAGGATTTCCAGATCCAAGAGGTGGCCTGAGTCCCAGGAGTTCTTCCACCCAGGAGATTAAGATCATAGGACCACAGAGACATCTGGACTCTGAGAAGCTCTGCCACAAGCAAGATAACTGGAAATACAGACTCCAGTCTTACACAGTGAGGGCAGGTAACACTAGAGTTAACCAGATGGTGAAAGGCAAGCGCAAGAACATAACCAACAGAAATCAAAGTTTCTTGGCATCATCAGTACCCAGTTCTCCCAATATAGCAAGCCCTGGACACCCCATCACACCAGAAAAGCAGGATTCAGAATTAAAACCACTTCTCATGATTATGATAGAGGATTATAAGAAGGACATAAGTAACTCCCTTAAAGAAATATAGGAGAGTACAAGTAAACAGGTAGAAGCCCTTAAAGAGGAATCACAGAAATCCCTTAAAGAACTGCAAGAAAACACAAAGAAGGAATTAAAAACATTCAGGATCTGAAAATGGAAATAGAAACAATAAAGAAAGCTCAAAAAGAGAGAACCATGGAGATAGAAAACCTAAGAAAGAGATCAGGAGTCATAGACGCAAGCATCACCAACCGAATACAAGAGATAAAAGAGAGAATCTCAAATGCAGAAGATACTATGGAAAATATTGACACAGTTGTCAAAGAAAATGCAAAATGCAAAAATCTCCTAACTCAAAACATCCAGGAAATCCAGGACACAATGAGAAGACCAAACCTAAGGATAATAGGTATAGATGAGAATGAAGATTCCCAACTTACAGGGCCAGTAAATATCTTAAACAAAGAACAAGATGCCCATAAATGTACAAGAAGCCTACAGAACACCAAATAGACTAGACCAGAAACGAAATACCTCCCGTCACATAATAATCAAAACATCAGATGCACAAAACAAAGAAAAAATACTAAAAGCAGTAAGGGAAAAAGGTCAAGTAACATATAAAGGCAGACCTAAAAGAATTACACCAGACTTCTCACCAGAGACTATAAAAGCCAGAAGAGCCTGGACTGACATCATTACAGACCCTAAGGGAACACAAATGCCAGCCCAGACTACTATACCCAGCAAAACTCTCAATCACTATAGATGGTGAAACCAAGATATTCCATGACAAAACCAAATTTGCACAATATCTTCCCACAAACCCAGCACTTCAAAGGATAATTGATGGAAAATGCCAACACAAGGAGGGAAACTACACCCTAGAAAAAGCAAGGAAGTAATCTTCCAACAACCCCAAAAGAAGATAACTATACAAACATAATTCTATCTCTAATAACAAAAATAACAGGAAGCCACAATCATTTTCCTTAATATCTCTTAACATCAATGGACTCAATTCCCCAATAAAAAGACACAGACTATCAGACTGGATACACAAACAGGACCCAGAATTTTGCTGCATACAAGAAACGCACCTCAGTGACAAAGACAGACACTACCTCAGAATAAAAGGGTGGAAAACGATTTTCCAAGCCAATGGACCCAAGAAACAAGCTGGAGTAGCCATTCTGATATCAAATAAAATCAACTTTCATCCAAAAGTAATCAAAAAAGATAAGGAAGGACACTTCATACTCATCAAAGGAAAAATCTACCAAGGTGAACTCTCAATTCTGAACATCTATGCTCCAAATGCAAGGGCACCTACATACATAAAAGAAACTTTACTAAAGCTCAAAACACACATTACACCTCACACAATAATAGTGGGGGATTTCAACACCCCACTCTCAGCAATGGACAGATCATGGAAACAGAAACTAAACCGAGACACTTTGAAATTAACAGAAGTAATGAACCAAATGGACTTAACAGACATCTATAGAACATTTCATCCTAAAACAAAAGAATATACCTTTTTCTCAGCACCTCATGGTACCTTCTCCAAAATAGACCATATAATTGGTCACAAATCAGGCCTCTACAGATACAAAAAGACTGAAATGATCCCTTACATCTTATCAGATCACCACGGACTAAGACTGGTCTTTTAATAATGACAAAACCAATGGAAGTCCCACACGCACATGGAAACTGAACAACTCTCTACTCAATGATGACTTGGTCAAGGAAGAAATAAAGAAAGAAATTAAAGACTTTTTAGAATTTAATGAAAATGAGGACACATCATACCAAAACTTGTGGGACTCCATGAAGGCAGTGCTAACAGGAAAACTCATAGCTCTAAGTGCCTACAAAAAGAAACTGGAGAGAGCACACACTAACAATTTGACTGCACAACTAAAAGCTCTAGAACAAAATGAAGCAAATACACCCAGGAGGAGTAGAAAGCAGGAAATAATCAAACTCAGGGCTGAAATCAACCAAATGGAAACAGAAAAAACAATAAAAAGTATCAACAAAACCAGGAGCTGGTTCTTTGAGAAAATCAACAAGATAGATAAACCCTTAGCCAGATTAACCAGAGAGCACAGAGACAGTATTCAAATTAATAAAATCAGAACTGAAAAGGGAGACATAACAACAGAAACTGAAGAAATTCAAAAAATCATCAGATCCTACACTCAACAGAACTGGAAAACCTGGATGAAATGGACAACTTCCTAGACAGATACCAGGTACCAAAGTTAAATCAGGAGCAGATAAACCATCTAAACAGTCCCATAACCCCTAAGGAAATAGCAGCAGTCATTAAAAGTCTCCCCACTAAAAAAAGCCCAGGACCAGATGGTTTTAGTGCAGAATTCTATCAGACCTTCAAGGAAGACCTAATACCAATTCTCTTCAAACTATTCCACAAAATAGAAACAGAAGGAACACTACCCAATTCGTTCTATGAAGCTACAATTACACTCATACCCAAACCCCACAAAGACCCGACAAAGAAGGAGGACTTCAGACCAATCTCCCTTATGAACATCGATGCAAAAATACTCAATAAAATTCTAGCAAACCGAACCCAAGAACACATCAAAACGATCACCCATCATGATCAAGTAGGTTTTATCCCAGGAATGCAGGGATGGTTCAATATTCGGAAATCCATCCATGTAATCCACTGTATAAACAAACTCAAAGAAAAAAACCATATGATCATCTCACTAGATGCTGTGAAAGCATTTGATAAAATTCAACATCCCTTCATGATAAAAGTCTTGGAAAGATCATGAATTCAAGGCCCCTACCTAAACATAGTAAAAGCAATTTACAGCAAACAGTAGCCAACATCAAACTAAATGGAGAGAAACTTGAAGCAATCCCTCTAAGATCAGGGACTAGACAAGGTTGCCCACTTTCCCCCTATGTATTCAATATAGTACTGGAAGTCCTAGCCAGAGCAATTAGACAACAAAAAGAAGTCAAAGGGATACAAATAGGAAAGGAAGAAGTCAAAATATCACTATTTGCAGATGATATGATAGTATACTTAAGTGACCCCAAAACTTCCACCAGAGAACTCCTAAACCTGATAAACAACTTCAGCAAAGTGGCTGGTTATAAAATCAACTCAAACAAATCAGTAGCCTTCCCCTACATGAAAGATAAACAGACTGAAAAAGAAATTAGAGAAATGACACCCTTCACAATAGTCACAAATAATATAAAATACCTTGATGTGAATCTAACCAAGCAAGTGAAAGACCTATATTACAACAGCTTCAAGTCCCTGAAGAAAGAAATTGAAGAAGATCTCAGAAGATGGAAAGATCTCCCATGCTCATGGATTGGCAGGATTAATATAATAAAAATGACCATCTTGCCAAAAGCAATCTACAGATTCAATACAATTCCCATTAAAATCCCAACTCAATTCTTCACAGAGTTAGAAAAGGAAATTCTCAAATTCATATGGAATAACAAAAAACCCAGGATAGTGAAAACTATTCTCAAAAATAAAAGAACTTCTGGAGGAATCACCATCCCTGACCTCAAGCTGTACTACAGAGCAATAGTGATAAAAACTACTTGGTATTGGTACAGAGACAGGCAGTAAGATCAATGGAATAGAATTGAAGACTCAGAAATGAACCCACACACCTATGGTCACTTGATCTTTGACAAAGGAGCTAAAACTGTCCGGTGGAAAAAGGACAGCATTTTCAACAAATGGTGCTGGTTCAAC